GATCCGCCCAGCTGCGTGAGTGACAGCTGGCTCTGCCTATCTAGAGGCAGAGCCAGCTGTACCCGCCCCCTCCCCCGTCCGTTCCGCCAGTCAGCGCTGGCAGATCGGAGCGGGGAATCCAGCAGAGAGCCGTGACAGGATTGAGAGGCGAGCGAACCCGATATGCGTTCGCTCACCTCCCGATCTACTGAGCCGACCTGTGACAGTCTCATTGTCACAGGTCGGCTAGAACTATGAGGTGAGTGGAAATCACTCATCTCATAGTTCTCCTTTAACCTCCTTATGCCAAGCAGCTGCATGAGAAAGCATTGGTGGATCACACGCTGTTCCAGCACTTCTATATGTGCTTTTCATCTTGGTTTGTAGCCACCTTTAAATAACAAGGAATGTGCTCTTACCTCCTCTTTGAGAACCATGGGTCTTTCTTTGGGCTGGGTCTCTGTTTCAGCTTTGGTATCTTGTTGGCCAAGGGTCAGGCCTTCATGCTTCTGATCAACTAAATATACATCACTAGTATCAGTGACTGGAAGTTCTTCTAACTGGGCGCTCTCCTGTTGTTCCAGGCCCATCACCTGCACATCCCGTGTCTGCTCATTAGTCAGACCCTCTGTATCCTGTTCAGGGGTCTCAGTCTGATCCTGGGAAAGGTTCTGTTGTTCAGCGACCTCCAAAGAGGACAGTCGAGCGAGCTCAGTTTGTTGGGCGAATGCAATCGACATCTCAACAATAACCTTGTGGAGAAAGAAGAAACATTGTATGACGTATAGGCAGGTAGTTGGGAGAAAAGATGGCAGCTTGAGCAAACTTAAAAATGATGATCACACCAAGTATGTATAAAATAAAGGAAACTCTTCTAAGGCATGGCTCCTTCGTGTGCTTTTTTGGCCACTAGCACATTTAAAAATTGTATGCCATTCATTTTAAAGCGATGCCTTAACACAACACACATTAATAGGTGAAAAAAAACACGCATCAATGCACGTGCATTTAGGCGATGCACCAGGACGCCAAGGCCAGTATTAGTCTTTAGAATTAAGAGATAAACATTTGATAAATGCATTTTTTTTTTTTACTCATCTGTTCCATGATTGATAATGTCTATCTTACATAATGCACTTTGTACACACTCTACAACAGCAGTCCATATGCTGCACTAGGTGTCAGTGGGTTACTTACCTGGAAGCACAGCTCCTGAATATATAAAAGAACTTTGCAAAACTGAAAAGTAGGGATGCACTGATACCGATCATTTTTTTTCGGTACTTGTCGATACCAATTACCGAGTAACGGAAGTCCCATTCAGGAAGCCAGGTGGCGTGTAATGACTCGCCACGTGGCTTCCTGATTAGCCGGGAAACCGGGCAGTGTGTAAAGACTCGCCACCCCGCTTCCCGATTAACAAGAAAGTCTGTCCAGCCTGTCACCCCCGTGGCCTCTCCAGCCAGAACGCGGCCTTCCTCAGGTACCCAGCCGGAGCCGTCCAATCAGGAAGCCAGGCGCCGTGTAATGACGCAAAGCCCTGCTTTCTGATTGGCCAGCGCTACCATATAGGCAGGTCAAGCATCTGTCTGAAGTTGCCGCTGTGGGGGGCGGAAAGATGCCACTGGGAGGTCGCCCCTTTAAGACGGTTGCGGCGGCGATGATATCTCTCTGCGCTCCCTCTCTCTCTTCTCCCGGTCGCTGCAGCTTCAGAGCGGCCAGGTAGACAGTGAGAGGAGAGCTGCACTCACAGCCCTTCCTCTCAGGTGTCACAGGAGTTCTGGCACAGTGTTATGCTGGAACTCCTGTAGTGGAGGTGACAGGGTCAATAAAGAGAACCTGTCACCTCCATATGCCATCACACAGGGGACTGTTAGCTCCTGTGTGATAGCAATAAAGTTAAGTGGAAAAAAATGAATTAAAAAAAAGTTGATAAAAACATTAGAAAATAAATAACAATTATGAAAAAAAATAAGTAAAACATAATAATAAAAATTATAAAAAGTAAAAGATAGTAAGATTAAAAAACAAGCAATAAGAAAAAAAATGACAAATACAAAAAATAAGATAAAAAAATATAAAAAGATAAATCAGATAAATACATATTTAATAAAGTAAAAAAAAGAAAAAAAAATAACAGTGATAAAAGCAAAAAAATTAGAGGTGCACCAAATGTTCCGTTAGACTTACCGGTAACGGTATTTCTAGGAATCTTCCAGGACAGCAACCTGAGAGATGATTGGTTCCACCTTCTACAGGAAACACAATTAGCAAAACAGTTAAAAGCCCCTCCCCTTCCCCTCGTACCTCAGTTGTGATAAAAGTAGACTACCACCCCAGTAAACGAGGGGACAACCCAACAATAAATAACATACCATACATCATTCCGGGTGGGAAGTAGGCTTGCTGTCCTGGAAGATTCCTAGAAATACCGTTACCGGTAAGTCTAACGGAACATTTCCCCAATCATCTTCCAGGACAGCAACCTGAGAGGATAAACAAGTACACAAAATACAAGCCTACCTCTCTAGGGCGGGACAATTGCTTGAAGCACCTTTCTGCCAAAGGCCAGATCTTGCTGGGACAGGACTTCAATTCGGTAGTGTTTGATGAAAGTGTCCTGCTTTGACCAGATAGCTGCCCTGCAGATCTGCTCCACTGATGCCCCAGCTCTTTCTGCCCATGAAGTGGACAATGACCTGGTTGAATGGGCCTTAACTGAAAGGGGTAATGAAAAAAATGAATTAAAAAAAAGTTGATAAAAACATTAGAAAATAAATAACAATTATGAAAAAAAATAAGTAAAACATAATAATAAAAATTATAAAAAGTAAAAGATAGTAAGATTAAAAAACAAGCAATAAGAAAAAAAATGACAAATACAAAAAATAAGATAAAAAAATATAAAAAGATAAATCAGATAAATACATATTTAATAAAGTAAAAAAAAGAAAAAAAAATAACAGTGATAAAAGCAAAAAAATTAGAGGTGCATTTGCTAATTGTGTTTCCTGTAGAAGGTGGAACCAATCATCTCTCAGGTTGCTGTCCTGGAAGATGATTCGGGAAAAAGGAAGTTTCATAACTGAAATGAAATGTAAAATGTCAGGCCAAAACCGATATCAAAAATGTTTTTTTTCCTAACCTTTTAAAAAATTGTTTTTGAAGCAGCCGTCTGTAAACAAAAATGCACCTTCGCCTGTGTAGGAACCGGCCCTGTGTTGCATCGTACCGGCCCTGTGTTGCATCGTAATGTGCAATATTCACACAGAATCATGCTATTAACACATGGACCCGGTGTGAACGGGCCCTAAAGGCCTTAAAAATGCAAGAACTAAACTCACTCGTGCAATTTCTTGCTCAATCTTCTCCTGGTAGCGCTCCTCCAGCAACTGATTGAGGTCAGCATCGCTCTTTTCCTCTGAAATTGGACACAAAGTGGGCTGGAAACTGCCATTTACAGTCATTTGCTTGGCGCTTGTCAGCTGGATGATTTCCTGTCTCAGAGTTGCCTTCTCCGCTTCGGACTTCTCCGCCAGCTCGGTCCTAAGCTGATCCAATTCTGCCTTGTGCTGCTTTTTTAAAGTGCAAACTTCGTCCACATATTTGGAAAACAAGGTCTGCCTTAGGCTTTGCAGGTGCAGATAAATGGACCCAATGGAGTCTTCCATTTGAGCGGTTTCGTCTATCTGCTCGGGAGAAGAATAAAAATACACATTTTGCTTATTTTATTAATCTATGCAGTACAAATGCACATTTTCTATATTCTGCACTGACCGATTCAACCCTTTGGTTTCCATTTTGTGGCGGGCTTGCAATAACACATTACATGAATGTGCGCTGGCTGGTGAACAGGGTCAGCATTCTGATCTGTAGGTACAGACGTCATAGGGCCAGCATTGTAAGTACAGAGGAGCTATGCTCATCCACTGCAGTGTCCCTGTGATACTTATACTGCTCAAAAATAGAGTACAGTTGTGTAAGTACAGATCATATGGATCAAGTTCTGGAAGTCTACAGTACATATGTTTTAATTCTGCTCAATATCACTATAAAGGGCACATACAATACAGCATTACTCTACCACACCAATACCACCTTAGAGGAAATGTTGCGCAACTAATGCAATACTTGCACCAAATATGATCAAATTCGGGCATGTCTGTTGGCCTCCAAATGTTTAAAGAAGAACTCCAGGATTTAAAAAAAATTTACCCTTGGGGCTATTCCTGCCCTTCAAGGGTTAAGTGCTTGTTTTATCGAGGGGGTGAAATTAAAGAAGAAATACTCACCTGATCCTTAGTCCTGCCTTGCTGTTATAGACTGGTCCCCACAGCCTCTTCTTCACAGGCTCTGACGCACTCAGGACCTGTGACATCATCATGTCCAAATGCAGGTCCATTAGACAAGAGGATGCTGAGAGACATACCGCAGCAGTAATGGAGGGGGAGAGAGATGAGCGTTCACTGCCACAAGACTGAGGATAGGGTATTTCTTCTTTATTTTCGCCCCTGAACCGAATCGAGCACTTAAAGTGACACTAATCTAAGGAGTTAAACCTTAAAAATATATTCAAGCACCTTTACTATTAACATAAATGTATCTTATTTGTGTATCACTTGGCTGTAGATCCTCAAATAATCTCTGAATTGGTGCTGACACTGTCCTTACTTCTGGAGGGGGGCTACTTTTGTTCCTCATGGTCCCTGTGTGTGTTGTAAAGTAGTCACCGCACAGCATGCCGGCAGGGGACAGGCGTTTCTACAGCAAGCTGGCAGGGGACAGGCGTTTCTACAGCAAGCCGGTAGGGGACAGGCGTTTCTACAGCAAGCTGGTAGCGGACAGGCGTTTCTACAGCATGCTGGTAGGGGACAGGCGTTTCTACAGCATACTGGTAGGGGACAGGCTTTTCTACAGCATACTGGTAGGGGACAGGCTTTTCTACAGCAAGCTGGCAGGGGACAGGCTTTTCTACAGCATGCTGGTAGGGGACAGGCTTTTCTACAGCAAGCTGGTAGGGGACAGGCGTTTCTACAGCATGCTGGTAGGGGACAGGCGTTTCTACAGCAAGCTGGTAGGGGACAGGCGTTTCTACAGCAAGCTGGTAGGGGACAGGCGTTTCTACAGCAAGCTGGTAGGGGACAGGCGTTTCTACAGCAAGCTGGTAGGGGACAGGCGTTTCTACAGCAAGCTGGTAGGGGACAGGCGTTTCTACAGCAAGCTGGTAGGGGACAGGCGTTTCTACAGCAAGCTGGTAGGGGACAGGCGTTTCTACAGCAAGCTGGTAGGGGACAGGCGTTTCTACAGCAAGCTGGTAGGGGACAGGCGTTTCTACAGCAAGCTGGTAGGGGACAGGCGTTTCTACAGCAAGCTGGCAGGGGACAGGCGTTTCTACAGCAAGCTGGCAGGGGACAGGCTTCTCTACTTAGGCTGTGGCTGTTTTTCTGCTTTGATGCACCTGCAATAAATTTAGCTGATTTAAATTGAAAGTTCAATTGGTCTTTAAAAAAAATCTTTGCTGGAGTGAAGCGAGATGAATTACATCTACAGAGAGGAAAGATCTCCCCCTGTGCTTCAGTTTCCATCCAGTGAAAAGTTATAATTGTAAGTGTAAAAAGTGTGAGCAGAGCCCAAACAGCCTTGTGTTTCCTATGATCGGGGATGAATCGTATGTACTGTATGAAGCTGCAGAACAGCAAAGGATTTGTTTCCAAGGTGAGATCAGATAAAACACATACGAAAAAAAAGCCAAACAAAATCATTACATAATAAATATGTTATCACCTACCACCAGTGAATGTGCCCTGTGCTTTACCACAGATCAGAAGAACATGGCTGTTGCAATTAAAATTTCAGGGTTCAAAATCCAGAAACAAAATAGTAGCCTCATAGAGAGAGGACCTTCACTGTCACTGCAATGTGAGCGTCTGCTTCCTGCATCCACTGCTAGGTGTGTTACCAACCAACACAGTACTGGGGTGTGTGCATAGATGGCGCTACACAAACAAAGATTAATAGACTGCACTTATTATACATTGTTTACCTTCAGCATATCAGCAAATGGAGCATAAACACTCTGGAATATGGTCGCTTCTTGTAACCCAAGATCAGACCCAGTTTCATTCTCATGCAGATCCCTGAAAGAAATCAAATATTAAAAAGAGATAGAAAGCATTGACAGTACAATACATCATCAGCAATGGCTCTCTGTACCATAAAATATACAGAGGTAGGCAACCTCGGTACTCAGCTTTTGTGGAGCTACAAGTCCCATGATGTCGAGTTTGCCTACTCGATATACAATTGGGGAACTCTACTACCTATAATGAAGGTGCATGCTTATGTGGTTACTAATCTGAATGCGAAGATCATTACAGCAGAGGGCAGCATGGCAGACTGTGCATGTCCATGTGTTTTCATGTCCATCGTGATTAGCACTTCAGCTTTGCAGAAGCGGAGTCCTCAGTTAGACCCCGTTCACACCGGGGCGGTTCGGCTGCACGGATTCGCCGACATGAACAATCCCATACATTGCTGTGGGGACCGTTTATGCAACCGTGCGGGTCCGGGCGATCCGAACCGCCCCGCCAAAACTGCTCCCTGTACTATTTTTGCAGCACTGATCAGTGCGGTTTCCATACAGGTTTCAATGGAATCGCGCTAATCACTGCGGTTTTGGGTGTTTTTAATTGCGTTTTAGCGCTGAAACACAATAACAAAATCCCAAAGCCTCCCTTGTGAGATCAGCGCGGTAGCGCCCGTCCTAGTGTGCATTTTCTCCCAGTGCTTGCATGGGTTACCCCCCATACGTCAAAGACATGCTGGTAAGTTAACTGACCCAATATTTGTGTGCATGTATGTGAGCTAGGGAACTTAAAGTGCAAGCTCCTTGAGGGCAAGAACTGATGTCAATGTACAATGTGCCCACCCCCAATGAGTGTTTGAGGAACAGAGAAGGGAGGTGGGAATCCCTGCAGGGAACGGTGACTGACAGTCACTGCTCTCTGCAGGGAGAAGACCGTGAGCTGAGCAACCACCAGTCACATGATCCCTTGGCAGTGCCCCACAATGGCTCTAAGTACTGGGAAAATATATTTTACTCTCCCAATACTTCTCCTTTAAAACAGACAAGCAGACAAACTGTGATTTGTGACAAATACTTCCTTAGTCTCATCATGAGCCTACCTGAGCGGCAGAGGGCTGACGCTGACATCCTGGGGCTGCTCCTGCAGATGAATTATCTCTTTGCAGAAACGTTCTTCATTCTCCTTTAGCTGCTGCTGGAAATATGATCGCAGATGCTCAATTTCCTGGGAGTGCTTCTCTTCCAGCTGTGCTCTCTGCTGGCTGAACTCGGCTTTAAGCTTCTCGGCCTCCTCCAATGCTGGCAGGGTCAACCCTTCCTGAACATCTGAGGAAAGCAAACAAACAGATTCACTGTGAAGCATATCCTTCAGGTACTCAGACCACCTGACCGCTGTGTAAAAAAGTAATGACCACCATAGACTTTACAGGGACTTAATGGGTATATGAATGGGCGGACATGATCCCAGTGTCTGCCGCTGTCAGAGTACCGGGACAGTGCTTGCAGTGGATTGCCTGCAGGCACTCTTCGGATGACAACCTTCTAGCTTGTCCCTTTGACAAAATTCAGGCCTAAAATGTGGAATATAACATGGGTGCAAAAAATGAAAAAAGGGCCTCAGTCATGAAGGGGTTAATCAGCTAAATTGGCTGAAACTCGGACCATGTGTACACAGCTTTAGACATCTACACCGTCTGTCATGTAAACGTTTGTGTTCAGGATATGGACAGGGACCAATGGGAAGATTATCAACTAATGTCTATGGACAAGTTAAAGCAGGAATACGGGTAACCTTACACATGACTATACAATGAGAGTTAGAAAAAAAATGACCCTCTCCATTTGTTTTGGTGATTATTGTGACTGAGGCAGCAAGTGAACGGAACAGAAAGGGAAGAGAAATCTACCAATCAGGCAACTGGACTGGACACCATACACAGCTTAATAGATTCCCCCATCCAAGCTAAATAGCATTGATTGGGTAATATCCACTGCTGACTATTGTGTTCAGCCAGCAGGCCGCAGCACCTGCACTGTTGAGTAGTGACTACATGCGATAGGATGCAGTCACTGTTTGGGCCAAATTTTAATGAATTTTGTTGGGCCAGGTGGTACTTTCGAGGATAACCATGGCTCGAATCTCGACCGATTCAGTAGCAATATACCAAAATTGTAGCCATATACGGAGGCCGTTAGAAAGGATTCCTGCTCACTTCCTGTTGTCTCATGGACAGAAAGTGAGGAAGATCTCCCCACCGAGACACAGACAGCATTAAAAAGTGACTGAGCCTCCAATGACAGATATTCTCACGAGATAATTAATTTGGTGATGTCACTACTGTGGGTTTCCTCCTGACATCGCTGAAGCTTGGTAATTGGTTACCAAGGCATATGTAGTTATTGGAAAAATTAAATTCTATCTAACAGACTCAAGAAAAAAAGACAATATCAGGTTTAGTGGAAAAAAAAAAAAGGGTCCTAGATGAAATTTAACCAAGGACTCCAATTCTGCACGACCACACTGCAGATTGCTACGCTGCCATATTGTCCTTGTTACCATCTAGAACAGGGGTGCCCATCAGGTCGATCGCAAAGCAAACCCTGGTAGATCGTGATTGGCTCACTGACCTGTGTCCTGTCCTCCCGTGGTGCTCGTGCGGCTGAATTCATCAGACGCTGCAGACGGGAAGGGGCGGATCACCTCTACCAGTCTGCACATTCGGCCACACGGGATGACAGAACACTGCACCTGAGCGGAGACCCGGGATGCTGCTGCAGTGCAGGTAAGAAAAGAGAGCAGAGAGAGAGAGACGGCAGAGAGACGGCCGAGAGAAGAGACGGCCGAGAGAAGAGACGGCCGAGAGAAGAGACGGCCAAGAGAAGAGAGAGGAGAGACGGCCGAGAGAAGAGAGAGGAGAGACGGCCGAGAGAAGAGAGACGGCCGAGAGAAGAGAGAGGAGAGACGGCCGAGAGAAGAGAGACGGCCGAGAGAAGAGAGAGGAGAGACGGCCGAGAGAAGAGAGACGGCCGAGAGAAGAGAGAGGAGAGACGGCCGAGAGAAGAGAGACGGCCGAGAGAAGAGAGAGGAGAGACGGCCGAGAGAGAAGAGAGACGGCCGAGAGAGAAGAGAGACGGCCGAGAGAGAAGAGAGACGGCCGAGAGAGAAGAGAGACGGCAGAGAGAGAAGAGAGACGGCAGAGAGAGAAGAGAGACGGCAGAGAGAGAAGAGAGACGGCAGAGAGAGAAGAGAGACGGCAGAGAGAGAAGAGAGACGGCAGAGAGAGAAGAGAGACGGCAGAGAGAGAAGAGAGACGGCAGAGAGAGAAGAGAGACGGCAGAGAGAGAAGAGAGACGGCAGAGAGAG